CACCACACAGCAGTTTGAAATGCCTCCCTGTCCTTTAACAGCAGGTGGGGTGAGAGGGGAGGGGAGGGGCAGAGCCTGGGGCAAGGTGTGTTGTGGGGAGGTGTAAACAAATGGGGTTTGCTCAGGTGTTGGGAAAGGGGAATGGTTAGGTGGATTGGCAAGCAGAATGAGTAGGTGTGGTGGCCCTTAGCATGCACATGAGCATGTAGGGTACACACACACGCCCCATTCAAACAAACCTGCATACCCTCCAACATTTCTCCTATGAAATTGGGACATCCCATTCCATAATGGTAATTTTACTATTTATACCCCACACATCTTACTGGGTTGCCCCAGCTACTTTGGGCTGCTTCTAACATATATAAATACATAATTAAACTTTTAAAAAACTTCCCTATACAAGATTGCCTTCAGATGTCTCAGGAGTCGAATACAGTGGTACCTGTAACACTTCAGGTTACAGACTTTGCTAACCCAGAAAAAGTGCTTCAGGTTAAGAACTTTGCTTCAGGATGAGAACAGAAATTGTGCTCGGGCGGCGCAGCGGCAGTGGGAAGCCCCAGTAGCTAAAGTGGTGCTTTAGGTTGAGAACAGTTTCAGGTTAAGAATAGACCTCTCGGACTTCCGGGGTGGCGCCATCGGTAATGGCAGATTCCCTCTGATCCGGAGGGACCGGCTCCACGGAAAACGGGTCTTTCCCGCTACGGCGAAGCGGGGACCTTTTGAAAAATCACAGGCGGATGAAGCCTGTGACCATGGGACTCGGCGGGCACCTTTCGCGCCCCCCCCAACTCGTAAAGGAACCCAGTTACGGGCTCCGGAGCGAAGAGGGGCAAGTGGCGCGGTGCTGAGAGTCAACTGCTTCTTCCGTGGAGCGAAGCCGCACAGCCGTTGCCGGAGAGCGCTGCCTTTTTCCTGGGACAATTTGGCTATTAAAACAACTACCCGTGAGTAGCTTAATTTCAGACAATTGGACTTTAAACAATGACCTGTGAGTAGAAAGGAAAATTGGACTAAGAAATTCTTGTCAATTTGGCACTGAAACGGGAAGGTCTAAACAGGAAGTCAGCCTTCCGTTTCTTGTAGATAGATTAAAGCAAAGACATGGCAAACTAGAGTTCAGAAAATCGTTTGTAAAGGATTAACTTTCATCATCTAAAATTGTTGAACCCCTCTCGGAAGCAGGAGAAGAGGGGGGATTTTTTCCAGACTGTTTAAACCTGCAGAAGAGAGTGTAAAGAAAAGTAATTTTCCACCGTCTTGAACCTGGGAGCGGGGTGTCAAGACTGACGTTTTTGGGAAGCTCATTGACTATAGACAAACGTCTTTGACAGACAGTTAAAAGAAGAGAAACATAGTGATTCCATTGCTCTCCTTCGCATTTTAAAGGAACAAATATTGACAAAATATCTGAAAAAGGAAACTTTGTTGTTAGATCTGCCTTTAAAAGAAAAGAAAAAAAAGAAAAGAGATGGATACAAATAGAAGTTCTTCCCCTAGAGGGAGCCTGTGAAATTGTTACTAAATCTGAACCGGGGAGCTCTGCAGCTGCAACAGATTAAGATCGTGGGAACAGACTTCTGACCTTCATAACAATGTATTCAGAAGCTCTGGTGCGTGCTTTCTGCAAAACAAGTGCCCTATTGGAACAGTTACATGAGAAGACGGACTTGATGACTGTTGCGATCAGAAATTTTGGTCAGGTTGTGGGTAATTATATAGAATCCACCCAGGAATCAACTCAGGAGTGTGCTCTGACAGATCAGATGAGGAAAGATGATGTTGCTGGACCTCGGGTGGCAGAGATGGAGGGAGCTGTGGCCTAGCAGGAACATGAGTTGTTGGATTTGACAAATGAACTAGGAAAAAGCCAGATTTGGAGAGATACAGTTTTGTTTGGCTTGGAAATGGGGGGTTGGATAGACCCCCCTATGCAGGGATGTTTTGACTCTTCAAGTCTGGCAATGGGCCGTGAGATGTTTGGGGTTGTGGTGGTTCTTAATTCTGGAGGGACTTTGAAATATGTTTTTAAATACCACATGGAGTTTAGTGTGGAATATGGAAAAGGGGCTGATTTGTCGAGAAGGGACAAAAATACTGTCAAGCTGGAGTTTCCATGAGTAAAAGGAGCAGGAGATAAAGTAAAGTACAGGTATAAATATGAAGAAGAGCTGCGGAAGGGACATGGAAGTGACTTAAGGGCCTCAGACATAAGATTACCAGGTTAATGAGCTAGATTGATGGGATAGAAAGGACTGACAAAACCCGGGACCAGGAGGAAGAGACGTTGGATGAAGATTGGAAGAAAGTTTAAAAATTTTTTTTTTATTAGGATTGTTTTATAAAATTGATGAATGTTAGAAAAATGTTGGAACGAAACTATTTGGCTTTAGCAGAAATGTTAAAAGAATTATGTAAGAATATGTTATGGTTATGAGAAATTGGTATAAATAAGATCTAAGTTTTAAGTTTTAGGGTCTTTTATAGTAAGATAAGGTTAAAATAGATTAAGGTAATTTAATGACAGAATACTATGAAAAAGGGAAAGGATTTGCTGTGATAATTAACAACTAGAATACAAAAAGGGAGGAGTGAGGAGGTCGATGAAATAAGGTAATGACAGTTAAGGATTTGGGAATATTGGATTTGTTTTTAAATTTTTGTGGTTTATTTTTGCTTTTTGATTGTGTTGTGTTACGTGTTTTGTTGTTATTTTTTGATTTTGATTTTGATTAATTTGTATTGTTTGATTGTGGATTGTGGCTTGTTTCCCCCCCCCCCCTTCTTTTTCTCTTTGCCTTTTCTGTAATTTTAAAATTCTTAATAAATATCATTAAAAAAATAATAAAAAGAATAGACCTCCGGAACACATTAAGTACTTAACCCAAGGTACCACTGTAACTCCATCCCCTCCAACATTTCCAGGTGAATAAACAAAGAAGTGGTGAATGTGACCGTGATATCCCCCACCCTCCTTCCAACATCATCACTGGGCATGTGTGGATGCACCCCATGCTGCCAGGACTGCTTACATCTGTTTTCATTTGCTTTCAAATGAATATGCTGTGGGGTGTTCCAGAATCAATCTGCAATGAGCTTTTACTTTTGGAATGAAACCAGCTTCTCAGGAAGCAGTTTTCAGGGGCAAAAAAACCAAAAACCAAACCAAACCAAAACAACAACAACAACAACAACAACAACAACAACAAACCATATCTAGATTGTGTGTAGGCTACATGGAAAAAGCAGGAACTTAGTCTCCATTGATTGTAGAATAAAACATTGTGTATACACAGCTTCTCTGGGTTCTGATTCAATAAATAGATGCATTCAAAAATTCAGATGACTCCCGACCCCCCAATCCCACTAAAAGGTGGGACCCACACAAACACGTTTGTGTGTTTTTTTGTCCACGCCGTATTTCATGCTGTGATAGGCACATAGGGCAAAGGCAGCTTTATCTCTGGTTTGGCTCATTAAAACTCAACAAGCTCAGCGGAGTCTCTGAAGCAGAGAGTCGGAGCCCAGCCAGCTTGCACAGTGGCAGATAAAAGGCTTCCCTTCCTTTTCCCTCCAGCTCTGCACTTTCTCTGTGGCTTCAAGCAAAGGGGCACAAAGTCAGTGCTGGTTCGCACGTGCGCAGCATTGTGGGAGAGCACGTGCTAAGAGCGGGAGGGCTGCATCTCTGCTATGTGTTGGGGTGTGTGCATGACATCCTAGAGAAAGCCTTGGTCTGCAGCAGCTAGGAGTTCCAGGGAGCTGCTTTGAGCAAGAATGCATTCTTGCAGAAGGCAAAACAACAACTCTATTTTCAACTTAAGAATGGAAAGCATAATGACAGCGGACAACAAAATGGGTTTAAAGACGCTCTCATGGCAAATCTTAAAAAATGTTGTATAAACACTGACAACTGGGAAACACTGGTCTGATAGTGCTCCAATTGGAGAACAGCCTCTACCAAAGGTGTTGTGGACTTTGAAGAAGCTCCAACTCAGGACAAAAGGGATAAATGACCTAAGAGGAACGCACGTTTGGCAAATCCTCACCATGATTAACTCCTGCCCAGAAACCTAGGTCCCCACTGCAAGGACGTGTGGCTCCAGAATTGGTCTCCACAATCACTTGTGGACACACTGTTAAGACCATATTAATGGAAGACAATCTTACTCGGCTACGAGTAATCACATAATAATAATAGAAATTTATTGAAGGATATTGGTGACTATTAACCATGGCAGCTATATACAACCTCCTGATTCAAATGCAGCCTACCTTTCGATACCTGCTGCTGAGGAGCAACAATGAGGAAGGGTCCTGCTTCTGGGCTAAGCAGCATCTGGGGGGGGGCAGTGAAGGATGGTTCTTCACTCTGATCCAACCAGGCTCTACCCCATGGGGTTTATTTGTTACTTGTTAAATTTATAACCTGCCTTTCGTCCCAACAACCTGACCTTCCAACGCATTCTGTGATTGTCAAGTATGGTCACACACACCTCTCTGCATTATCTGTGCCAATGGTCATGCCAAGGTATGCCCTGATTTCTCAAGTTTGTATAAGGCAGTGGAGCCCTTATGTGACCGTGAAAGGAGAAAATGGAATAAGGAGAAGCAAGGCACTGAAGGGAAAAGGTGACTCAATGTGTGTTTTGACTGCTGGAAAGCTTACTCCATACAAGCCGCCTGAGAAATCTTAACTGAATAAGTCTCAGAATGGGCTCCTGCCAGATAGTGGGGGTTGGCTGGGAATCACCATTTCACCAGCACTTTCTCTCGTTCCCAGGATAACTCATCCTCATCAGTTTTGATAGAGAAAAGCCTAAACAATTATCTCATGATCACACACACAAGATACTCAGGCACACATGATCATGATCAAAGAACTCCCACAGGAATCAGCTTTCCAAACATGTTGATAGGAATGCATCCCTTCCACCTTTACTCACAGGCACACATCTCCCCACTTCAGAAACACATAAGGGTCTCTAAATGGCCTTAGGGGAAGGCCTGTAGCTCAGTGGTAGAGCATCAGTCATCTATGCAGAAGGTCTCAGGTCCAAACCTTGGCATCTCCAAGTAGGGCTGGGTAATACTCCCTACCTGAAACTTTGGGGAGCCACTGCCAGTCAGTGTAGACAATATTGAGCTAGATGGTGGTGGTGATGATGATTTATTACATTTGCATACCACCCTTCATCCAAACATCACAGGAGGGTTCACGGCATAAAAATACAAAATGAGAACACAAAATGAATAATAAAACAGACAAAACAAACCAATAGCTCCCGTCTCGCAAGTACATTAAAAAGGCCATAGAATGCTTAATCAGCCAAAGGCTGATGGAACAATGACCTGACTCTGTATAAGGCAGTTTCCTATGTTCCTCAGTGTGGAAGACAGCAGAGATGCTTGCATTTGCCCCACTCCTTGTGTGCCTTGTTGTGCCGGGAAGGTCTGCAGGGGACTTTCACCTGCTTTCACTTGAATGCAAGCGGAATCCTCCATGCAGTTGGGAATGCCAATAAAGCAGGGTCCCCTATTGTGCAAGGTATTTGATTCACATTCAATTGACCTTCCTTTCACAATGTGGAAAGGTTGTGGACAGGCTGGCTGGGGAGGAGACAACCTGGGAAGGTCAAGGATACAGTGGCACATGGGTAACTTGGGTTGGGGCTTGCTTCCCACCCACAGATACAGCACTTGCATGTTTAGGCACTTGCCAAATCATGCCTTATTTATCTATTTGCAAAAATTCCTATACCACCAATGTTAATAATAAATCACAGCAATGAAGAGCATAGGAGGATACACATAAAACAAGTACGAAATGCATCACAAATCAGCAGATCAGATTAAGACATCAACAAAGCTGAAAAGTCCAGGTGAACAAATGATGATGATTTAAATGTACATCCCACCCTTCCTCCCAATGGCGCCTGTGCAGCAAACACACAATTAAAACATCCAAGAACAATTCAAATGCAGATGCACACTGGGAAAGATCTCAATTGAAAAGGCCTGCTGGAAGAGGAGGACAATAGAGATGGCACCGGTTTAATATTTAACCCAAGGGAATTCCAAAGTATAGGTACCACATTACAGGCCCAATTTCTATATTGTGTGGAGTGGACCTCCTGATAAGATGTGAGTGATTGATTGGATGAGAACAGATGAGTTTTCACCAGGTGCCTAAATGCCAGCACTGTAGCTGCCTGCTTGATGTCCAGTGGGAGCACATTCCAAAGGGCAGGTGCCACTGCACTGAAGTAGATCTTAGTGGGGACAAGCCTTGGGAAGCATATGTACCAATAAGAGTGTCTTTCCTGAAAATCAAAGATACTGCATTCTGAAATGTCCTGCAGAGCTGGAGTGGGACTCACAGGAGCTCAGATGGACAGGAATTCCAAAGAAAGACACCCAAACCACCAGAGTGATCCGATCTAACTATTTATTAAAGAAGGGTACGAACTTACAGCCTGATAGCTCCCTCCTCGCAGCATTCCATGGGACAAACTCCACAGTGAGCAAATGGCCTGTCTGCACCCAGGTAAAGGTACACACAATCTTTGTAGGTCCAGGCAGGCAATGTTACATGGTAACACAAGTGGTTGGTATTAACCACTACCTCCCCCTCTAGCCACACCTGGGGCCTGTGGATACACATGAGCTAAGCAGTACAGCTGCTATCAGTGAGACTGGGGTCATCTTAACCATCTATATGCTGCAAGCCGAGGCTTCCAGACCAGCTCACCTTTTCGGGTCAACGCACATTCTCAGAAGTAACCTGGTCTCAAGTTGTTCAGGGCTACATAGTCTAATAGCAAGACCTTAAACTTGGCCCAGTAGCATATAGCCCTACAGTGCAGGTATTAGGTGCTGTCAAACAGAACAACCACTTTAGCAGCCTGGCTGCAGCATCTTGCACTTGCTGCAGCTTCAAGAGAAGCCCCACATGCAGCACATTGCAGTAATCTGATCTGGAGTTTATCAATGTCAGGATTACCACAGCCAAGCTATCCTGATCCAGGAATGGCCACAGTGGAGGGTACTCCTTCCCAATGAATCCCCTTGGGTCTCCAGTGACAAAGGGGAATGCAGGAGCATTCTTAAGCTGCTTTGCACATTTCCCAGAAGCAGTGGTGAGGGCATGTGCAAGTGGACACGAGCCCAGTTCACATGTTCCTCACCTTTAGGACACGGCCATGTTGAATCTAGAGTGGGGGCCAGCCTCACCCAGATGATGCACCTCCTTCCTCCAAGAACCATTTGTTGTGCATAGTTGTCTGCAAAGAAGCCCCAACACATGGCAGCTGCTCTCACAGAGCGGGCTCTGCACAATCTGCATGCACACACCCCATCTGTCCCAAATAAATCGAGAAGCACTGTCAGAATTCAAAGACACATTCTAGCCAGGCAAAAGCATTCAAGGAGGCAGGAGGGATGCAGTTTGGAGAGGGGCAGTTTGGTCCAAGGGGCAGGCACAGAGGCCTGGAGGTCCACATTTGGCCCCCAGGCCAGATCTTTCCCACCCCTGGCCCCTTGAGCCAGAGCCCCATGATCCGGGACCCCAAGAGATAGCACCCCTGGAGTCTGATTCTCTTGTGAGAACTGCCCACCCTTTTCACCACGGTGCCCAAGCTCCCCAGTGCAGGTAATGACCAAGGTTGGAGCTGACTGAGAGGTGATGGAGTGTTAGATTCCAAGCAAGAATACTGCCCCTTTAAGGCTCTTCATTTTTATGGAAGAAGGTGGAGTCTGTGATGAAAGCAAGATCAAAGGCTTCAGCTGAGCTCTAGAAGTCATGGTTAAGGCAAGTTATCTGCTTGGAGCTATCCAAGGTGCTGCAGCTTTAGCCTGAGTGCTACTGACTTTGGCTTCAGTGCTCACCCCCACTTTTCTGGAAGTAAACCCCACTCAACAGGACTTATTTCTGAGTAGATATGGTTGGGATTGCTACCTGGCTGCTTGCCTGACTGACACCAAATCAGGTCACCAGTACATCTAGCTAAGTCTACACTGACTGCCAACAGTTCTCTAGGGTTTCAGAGCAGGATACTTTCCCAAACCTACCTACCTGGGAATGGAACCTTGGACCTTTTGAATGCAAAGCTGATGCTCTACCACTGAACTACAGCCCCTCCCAGTAGGGAGATGCCAGCAGAGGTGGTATCCATCATCTGATAGGTGACAATGCTTGCTACAAACATCTCTGTTAACTGAATAGCAGTTAGATTACTGTTCCTGTAACATGGAGTTGACAGCTCTTGGGGTGCTGTTCGGATAAATATGGCTTGGGATGTGAAGTGTTCAGTTTCTATGGTAATAGATGTCATATAAACACCATAGCTTGATATATCCTCACTGTCTCCTTTTCAACACTCCTATCAGACTGCTTATATACAAGGTGCCACAGACACTCATAGATCAGTAGTGTGCATGCACAGCCCAGGCACTGGGGTGCTCAGAAATACAGGTCCCCCTTTCTCCACACCTCTCTCTTTCTCTCTCTGAATTAATGACGGCTTTTGTTCACCATCAATGGTCATCGCAACATAAACACAAGAAAGGAAATAGCACCTTGGTTAAAAGCACACACAAAAATTATCTAAAATCTGGTTATTGCAATTTAATCATAACAAAGGTTAAACTATTCCCCCAATTACATACAGATCCCTGTGACACAAGATCAAATAATAGAATCATAGAACGGGAAGTTGGAAGGGACCACAAGGGTCATCTAGTCCAACCCCCTGCAATGCAGGAATCTTTCACTCAACATGGGGACTGAGCCTGAGATTACAAGTCTCATGCTCTACCAACTGAGCGGTTCTCAAATAAATCTGTCTCTTAATTTCTGGGCTGCAGAGGCACACGGATGGATTCTCTGTATTGAGGTGGCTATCCTGTGGTCCTCCATAGTTTGGCAGACTGCAATTCCCATCACTCTACCTGTTGGGCATGCTGCTTGGGGCTGATGGGATTTGTAGTTCAGCAACATCAGGAAAAGGCACAGGTTCCCCATCGTGCCCCAGGCTACACACCTTATTATTCGATAATGGTAAAGGGTAGCACATTATCCCATCCCGAAAATCTGGAAAGCATATTAGAAAAGTAATCTTTTCCTAGGATTAACATATTAGTGACATGAATCACAATGAGCCTAATCTTCTAGAAACCTTGTGTGTATGTGTGTTGTACCAGTTGACAGGCACTCGGGACACACAGCACATTGATCACAGTTGCCAAGCTAAATCTAGGTCACAAGTATATGCACACATGCAAGCACGTGTGTCCATTTCCCACAGAGGTAACTTCAGTAATGTGTTGTAGACTACACACAGGAACCCCCAATATATATATATTTTTCCACATCAAGTTATCTGCACTCATTTGCCCTACCGATCCTGACTTCTAGAATTTTAAACAATATATAGTTGGGGAGTGGGGAAATGGAGGAAAGGAAGTGCTTCACTAACCCATCTTTTGAATTTAGGACAGATCACTCTTGAAAACACTTACATTAAAATATCTGCTGCAAAAACATTTTAAAGAAATCAGCACAGCCCAACCAAACCAGAAATACAAGCTAAAACATCCCACTCATTAAAATGAAGTACTTTTTTTCTTCACACAATGCGTTACAGCTGGTGGAATTAATTGCCACTAGATGTGACAGCCACTAACATGGAGAAACTTTTTTGGGGGGGGGAGGAAGTGTTAGATGAATTAGCAGAGGATATGTCTTTCAAAGACTGTTGATCAATTAAGTCTAAAATCAAACCTCCATGTTTTCATGCACCATTCCTCTGCAAATGAGATGCTTGAAGATTCACTCTGCTTGGGAGCTTCCCATGAGCCTTTTGCCTTTTAGTTCCTCTTGGTTACAGAGTGCCAGAATAGGTGCTCTGCGTGTCTGAATGAACGAGCTTATTTTAGCTTTAAGGTCCAGAAACTTGGTTTTCTTCTTAAAAAATGGATGTAGAGATATTCACAATAACAAATGCAAAGCCAGATATTTGATTCTGCACTTATACAATGTCCATAAAAACTTTGACCATAGGTACTGTGTTTGGTG